ACCTCCGGCCCGGCCCGCACCAGCCTCCCTGCAGGCGCGGCATGACCCTGGTCTGGCACTCCCGGGATGCTTCTTGAGCCCCTTCGCCGGCGGTTACCTCGGAGGGACGGTTGTGGCCACACTGACATCTATTTTGCAAAGTAATCATTGTTTATTCTTGTGGCGGCGGGGCCGAACACGCTTATTTATTTTTCATTTTCTCAGCAAGCTTTTACCCAGCACTTGTCCAGCAAAACAACTCGGTAACCGTTTCGAAGGAGCACTGCCCGGTCAGGAAATCTCCGCCCGAGCCGCTCGCGGAAGCCCGCCTTTGCATCGTCCCTCCTTACATGCTGTGAAGACTGTTGCTCCTCCCTGTAACTACCAGTGTGCACAGAACTCCATTCGGGAAACGTCTTGGTCCAGCGATGCAAAGAACCGAAGTGTCAAGGTTTTATTTCTATTGCTAGACGGTCGGGATCTCCCCAACAACTCGGAGCCGCCCCGTAGTCAGCTCACGCGGACCCCCTAGTGCTCGCCCTTCGCTGCCCTCTTCCCGCCTGTCCAAGCGCTTTGTTGAGTAAGAGTCCACCCGATGTCATTGCTTCTGCAGGTGCAGCTCGTGGGTTCAAAGAGGAGACCGAGAAAGGAAGGGCGGTCTAGCCTCGGGTTGTATTCCGACAGAGCGGTTGGAAGTCCTGGAAGATGCTCAGGGCTCCCCAACCTTGAGGACATGTCCCTGGCGTGACCTGATTCACTCAGTTCCCCTCTCCCCTGGCGAAACAGCCCTTCTTTCATCATAGGAGTGGGTTTTGCTACTTTTGTCGCCCTGGCCAATGGAAGCCCAGTTCCCAGTCCGCTGACACTGGGGGGCGGGGTGGGGGGGGACCGGCAGGGTGTCCTCTCCGCAGACAAAGGTTGAGAACAGGCCAAACCTCAACAGCCACCTGAGCCTGGTGCAAGGCGGCAGGGGTGGTTTGTCGGTGTTACCTCTCGTCTCCCACTAGAGGGAGCCCTTGCTCTAAGCAGCTGACATGCCACCGGCGCCTCCCAGGAAAGGACTAGCTGGGCTCGCTTTTTACTGGGCAGAATTAAGGCACCCATACTTGGGGGCCAAAGGAGGCTTTTTCCCTGAAGGCCACCTCGTGATTTTAACGGGCACAAAGAAAACAACCCGTTAGCCAGTTCAGGCTGAGTGGTAGCAGTACCTCTGACTTGAGGCAGGTGCCTCTCTGTGACCTCCCTGTGCCTCCGTCTCCTCATCTTAAAAAATGGGGAGCCCTGACCGGTTTGGCTCAGTGGATAGAGCGTCGGCCTACGGACTGAAGGGTCCCGGGTGCGATTCCAGTCAAGGGCATGTACCTGATTTGCGGGCACATCCCTATTGCGGGGTGTGCAGGAGGCAGCTGATTGATGTTTCT